CAACAAGGTGCAGGGCTGGATGAACACAGCACCTTGTTGTCTCTAACTTTAATCATAATGAGATTTGACATTATACACATGTAGAATTAGTCTTACAGGGTCAGTTAGACTACTTAGCAGTAATTGTGAACTTAATGTACTGGAAATCAAGCCCCGACTATTCCCGAAAGCAAAAAAGTTTAAATCTTTTGGTAAACTACACGAAATCGCCACTTTACCAGTCAGATTGACCCAGGTTCATAGAAAACATGGACAAAGCTGCATTTTGCCAGCATTTTTGCTTCAGTTCTTCAGCATCCACGGTTCTTGATTTTAATTTTTCCCGATCATATCGTTGCTGTTGGCCTTTGATTCATGAAGACATGACCAGTTGTGGATATCAATCAGCAACCTGTTACCAGCCAAATCTCACTTTGTAGGCTGTGCCCTGGAGCCAAGCAGTCTCCTGTTACAGTGAGCTTCAGCGACGTGCTTTCTCTCTCCCCTTCTTCAGGCCTTTTATCCCCCCACCCCAAACTCCTTTTCTCAGTTCAATTCACAATCAAAAACGTAAAATAAAGTTGTACTATCTTTACATTAGCACACTGTGACAGCACCCTCATTCAATGAGATGCAATATTTCCCACAAACTTGAAGCAAAACTAACAGCCTAAAAAGGAAGTGCTCAGTTTTATTCAAGTCAATTCTAAAAAGAGATGGAGTCATGTTGGTGAGGCCACTTGGAGCACTGCGTACAATTCTAGTTGCCCTGCTATAAGGATATTATTAAATTAGAAAGGGTGTACAAAAGATTTACCGCAGGATGTTACTGGAACTGGAGGGTTTCCGTTGTAGAGAGAAGCTAGAGAGGCTGGGACACTTTTCATTGGAGCGTAGGATGTTGAGGGGTGACCTTATCACAAAAAGGGCACGGATAAGGTGAATAGCAAAGATCTTTTCCGTAGGGTAGGGGAGTCCAAAATTAGAGGGCATAGTTTTGAGGAGAGAGGAGAAAGATTTAAAAAGGGACCTACGGGGCAACTTTTTCAAGCAGAGGGCAGTTCATATGTGGAATGAACTGCCAGAGAAAGATGTATAATGCAGGTACAGTTCCAACATTTCAAAGACATTTGGACAGGTACATGGTACATGGATAGGAAGTGTTGAGGGGGATATGGGACAAACAAAGGCAAATGGGACTAGTTTAGTTTGGGAAACCTGATCAACATGGACAAGTTGGACTGAAGGGTCTGTTTCCATCCTACATGGCTAAGAAAGGAGAAGGTAGCTTACAGAGGTGTGTAAGATTAGGAGGGACATGGAGAGGGTGAATAGAAAGAAGCTGTTCCCCTTAGGTGAAGGGTCAGTAACAAAAGGGGTCATAATTTTAAGGAGAGGCAGGAGGTTAAGGAAACATTTTTTCACCCAGAGGCTGGCAGGAATCTGGAATGCAGTACCTAGGAGGGCAACCTCAATCTTCCAAAAAAAAAAAAAAAAAAAGATGATGAGCTACAGGTCTAGTGTGGGATAATGGGACCAGATTAGATTTAGAGTCACTGAGTCAGTGCAGACTAAATGGGCTGCTTCTGTACTGTATAATTCTATGATTTACAGTCTGTATCTGCTGCAAAAAAACCTTGAGAAAATGCAGTGAATCACTGACAGCAACTCCTGCATTTTTAATGTTTAACTCCACATTTACAGAAGCCAGAGTTCCTGTCAGTTTCAGTGATGGTAAAACTACCAGTAGTCACCATCATTACACCAGCAAAATTCTGGCTTTTTGAAAACCATGTTCTCTAGTCCAGAAATCTTTATGCATGGAACAGATTCACTGTACCATTGCCCTCCAGTATTTGCCACTTAGCAAAACAGTTACCTAGTTTTGACACACACCACCTAGCAGCACTTGAAAACATCCTTTAAACATTACTCTTTACAAGAATGTACTTCAGTCTTCTGCTTTTCAATGGATGGACAAACACTAAACAGACTATCACAAAGTATGAATCACGTTTATCATGTAAACACAGAGTAAGATTGTCACATTTTAGTAGGCTTTTGTAAAATGCCAGATTTCTCACTAGTGCTTCCAAACCATCTCAGAACACTGACATTTCAGTAATAATAAGAAAAATTCTGTTCATGAAATCACATTCATCTTCCATGCAACTACCCAAAGGGTGGATATTCATTTAAAAAGCTTGGTCTGAAATTTAAACAGCCTTTTTCTGCTCAGCTCATATACCAGTTACTTTCCATCACGTCTTCCACTGGGAGCAACCCTTCAGTAAACATGCCCTCTCCTACACAGTATGACTCTATTGCAATAGAACAACCACATATTTATGTATTGCCTTCAAATATAATTAAAATGTCCCAAGAAAGTTTACAGGAGCACTACACAAACAAAGTCACACACTATTATGTCAGATGACTAAAAAGGTTGGTCAGAGGTAGGTTTTAAGAAATGTCTCAGAAGGAGGAAAGCAAGGTAGATCAATTATAAGTGGGAACGCACAAGAGGCCAGAATTAGAGTACAGCTGTCTGGGAAGGGTATGAGGCTGGAGGAGGTTAGAGTTATGGAGTGCTGAAGCCACAGAGGGATTTGAAAACAAAGCTGAAAATTTTAAAAATCAAGATGTTGCCTGACTGGGAGTCAATGCAAGTCAGTGAAGACAGGGCTGATTAGTGGAATGGGCCTCGCTTTCAATTAAAACATGAGCAGCAAAGTTTTGGATGAACTCCAAAGTGTAGGAGACCAACCAGTACTGTGTTGGAAGAGTCAAGTTGAGAGAGGTAACAAAAGGTATCAATGAAGGT